AGAAAACCAACTTCGAATCCAAAGATCGTAGGACAGGCTTTCTCCAAGCGATTCAACGCTATGATGGGAAAAGTTCCGTCGAATAATTTCAACAAATTTATACATAAGGATTTGCATTCGATTGGTGATCTTATGGCACGTGGGCTGACCGTGCAATCTATTACTATTGAACACGTGCTACTCATTTATAAGAAAGATATTATGTTTGAGCAATGCATTTTGAGTCGGTTGGCTGATGCAGCGATTTGCATGTACTCCGGAGCAGTAGTTCTTTCTCGTACAACCAGGGGCATTGATTTCAATTCGGCAGATTCCAAGTTGCAGATTCTTTTAGCAAAAGTCTATTGCTCTGAAGCATTTAAAATGATTCTGCACAAAATGAATTGTATCCATATGGAACTTGTCGAGGCCAAATATAAGAATTTCAGTGATATCTTCAATATTATCTGTAAGATAAGGAAGTAATTGTGGTTTGTGTAACTTGTCTTTGATCTAAGATTAACACGATCAATTTGTATGAAAAATATATATACAGTATTAAAATTATTCATTTCCTATTAAATCTTGATTGTTTAATATATGTAGTCAATTAAGAAAACATGTTTTTTTACTTCTCTTTGATAATAATACAATATGTCATGAAACGATGTTATACATAATCTTAGTAGTTTTGTGAAACTTGTTTGACTTTTTTCTACAATTTTAATTAAATTTTGCAGAAATAATAATAATTTTAAGAATTATTTTAATTGAATAAATGAGGTACCATCATTGAAAATGGACTAACTTTAAGAAAATTAAAAAAAAATATAAGAAATTAAATTTTACAAAATGCAATATCTTAAACTTTTGCAATGAAGCGCATCAAAATAATCTGTTAATTGTATATAACTATTCTAAGAAGTAAGTACACTTTTTCATGACAATTTCGTAATTTCAATTGATTCAAACAACTACTTTAAATAAATTTATATATATATATTTAAAAATAATCAAAAAATCTCTATAAAACATAATATCAGCAGGACGTACGTTAATATTTCAAGAAAGCCTAAGACTTAATTTATTTTACAAATAATTCTATATAACCTTTTTGCTGTTGTAAAACAATCAACTTACTTCCTTCCTTATATAATTCATTTCCATCCAGGAATAACTTGAGGGGATTTTGTTTTTGATTAAATCACGTTTGGTCTGTCAATCAATTCTCTGTTTCACGAAGAACTGAAGTGCGGTTTTGTTTTTGTTTTTGATTAAATCACGTTTGGTCTGTCAATCAATTAACATTTATTATTTAAATTAATTATTTTTAAATAATATTCGAGAAACGTTCAAATATTACATTTTAAGTTTTATTTGTAAAATGTATTCGGCTGCTTGAAAGTAATCTATTCATTTAATGTCAGGAAGCTTTGTGCAATGGCCAATACCTCGCATAAAGCCAATACTGTTTGAAACCGCACAAATCGGAGTATTTAATTGAAATATGTATAGCATAAATTTAAATCAAATACTTATAATTTTGTATTCTTTTCTTAAAAAATATTTTCATTTTTCATTCATTAAATTAAGTTTGTTTTCAATCTAGACCGATCGAATACTGATAATGTTGAAATAATTTTTACGATTTCATAATTAATAAAAGAGAGATGTTACACTTAATAGTACCATAAAAAAAAAGCATTATTTAATTTAAAAAAGTATATTTTGGAAAAAAAATATATAATAGAAATTTGTATAGAATCATATTAATATGTTTGATAATATTACACATATGCAAATAATTTTCTACAAATAACATTTTTTTTATGTCGTGTAATTTTATATACAATCTGTTCATCAATGTGAACATTGAGAAAATTTAAGATCGCGGCTGACATTAGGTAGGTAATCTTTCCCGGTAGATAGTTACCATTATGATGATTTGATTTTAATTTGTTGGTTAGCTGTCGTCTTGTAGGTTAACTTCAGTAGTACATTGATGCTCTGCGATTCCACTATTTCCTTTGACTGTGAATCTGCTACTATCTTTAACACTGTCCATCGACTTGGCTGAAGGTCCATATGCTGAACCTCATTCATTTCACAGTGCATCTGTGATGAACGATGGCCCTATTGCTACAAGCACTGAGAGTGCTCACAAAGCGCCTGGCTTGTTGACCAGGATTTGAGCCTGTGACCACTGGCACGTGGGTAGGGCGACTTAACCATTCGGCTATTAGTCGCCCTACAAAATAACATCAGTTCGTCATATTTAATAAGGTTTATATGAATGTTTTCTCTGACCTTGGTAATTTTGTACCACAAGTCCAAAGTTGTTGCGTCTTCTTCCGTATGTACCATTCGACATGTACATAGCTCCATCGGCTATTGGACCATTCACAGTTTCCATGAATGTTCTGGAACATTCATTAATCCAATTAATCCAATGCCCTGGTATATGACATTTTCGGCAAAAATAATTTGCAGACATCTCCCTATTTCTTGGTGCAGTTGGTTAATTTGTAAAAAGTGGCTTAATTAACATCTACATGTATTATAATNNAGTCATCACCGCTCCATTTTTGTCAATCAATGTTTTAGGACGTTGTTTCTTAAAGCTACCGGTATTCTTGCATAGACAACACTGCTATTTTTCGTGATCTCGTTTGTGTTTCTTTGCATATCACTTTTTTGGTATCTGCATTCATCAATTGAATGTAGAAATTAAAATTTCGCGTTTTACATCTTCAACATATATGAAAGAATCATCAAAGTTCAATCTTTCAAATCTTTCATGAATGGTCTGGGAATTCCCGAACTGAAACATCATCAAAGTTCAATCTTTCAAATTCCTTTTCACAATTCAGCTTGTAGAAAATCGACATGATTAGGTTGTCTGAAAAACTCTGTTGGAAATTGTGATATGTAGATATATATTTGTATAAAAATATCTTAAGAAAATCTTACTTGAAGCAAATGTTATAATTTGATGGATTGCTGCTTCTGATGCAAATTGCAAACTGATAAATTGTGAATATTGTGTTCCTAAATATAAACAATTTTGTTTGCTCACATAGGCAAAGGTAAATTATAATAGTGTTATGAAGAAATGGTATAGAAAAGCATAATATTTATTGCACATATTCTTATTAACAGGTACAGATACGTGAAATTGAAATAAATATATGTAGAAGAAAAAACAGTATACAATAATAAAAATAAAATTCAACTACTTTAAAGGACTTGACTTTTTTCTACAAATTTAATTAAATTTCGTAGAAATAATAATAATTTTCAGAATTATTTTAATTGAATAAATTCGTGGTACCTCATTGTAAATGGACTAAATTTAAGAAAATAGATAAAACAATCGTCTTGGCAAGTTGAACGATATCTATATTTAATTGATGGTTGCAAATACCAAAGAAGGTAAGTGATATGTAAAAAATAAACACAAACGACAAATTTGTATTTTAGTTTCCAATATTATTTGTATGTTAAGAATTCTACGGTGACGACTCACAAAATTGAAGCAATCATCAAACAAAACCCTGCAAATAACATTTCTAAGAAATTAGTTTTTATGATAATGAATGTATATGTTAATTAAACAACTTTTTTACTTCTAGTAACCAAACTGCACAAAGAAATACCAGGGCATTGTCCATTACAGAATGCCGTTTAAGAGATATTCGGAAAGAAGTTGAGGGAGCCATGTACATGTGAAATAGAACATGTGGAAGAAAAGGCAACAATTTTGCACCTCGCACAATACAATATTACCAGGGCCAGGGAATAAATGCACTTAAACCTTATTATATTTAATATTTTGTCGAACAATGGTTCCTTTGTAAGCATTGACATGTATATATGTAATTTATTTCATTTTATTCATACAATTTGTATAATTATAAATTTATATATTTTTATAAATTAATAAGTACGTTAATATTTTAATAAACCTTTATCCTCAATTATATATCGAAAGTATTGACTACAACCTCTTTGCTTTAGTAAAATAATCAATCTATTTTGATATTATAATACATTTTTAATTTTAATGATTCCACTCTGGTTATGGTTATTCTCTAGTTTTTCAATTTTCTCGCTTCCCTATTCTAACTATAGTAGAACCTCGCTTAACGAACCTTTTTTAACGAGCAAAACAAATTGTTATAAAAAAATGACTCGCTTAACGAGCGATGTTTTGCAATACGAGTGACGAGAAGAAGAGAAGTCCTCGCTTGTGCGCCTGCTTCATCATTTTCTAAACATGTGTTCAGACACATTATGTGTATGCGTAATATATTTTGAATATATTAACCATCTTCGACTTTTTTCTCATCTTTGTTTATAGTGGACATTACTTTGCAAATATAATTTGTGTTTGCTGTAAAACAAAACAAAAATATTGTGTTCATTTTATTATACATATATCTATTATCTTTTCATTTATATGAAACTTGACTTACGATCATTTCGACTTACGTTTGAAATAGCAGAATCCGAGAAGCAACTAAATTCCTATAATCCGTAATTTTGTTCAATTTACTAAAAATATATAGAAATAGATTAATATGTAAGATTTTTATATGTTCCATTCTTCCATGTCTTTTTTAATTATTCGAAATAAAGTAGAAGTTTCCCCCGACTTACGAACTAGTTCCGTTCCAAAGGGTTATTCGTAAGTCAAATGTGTTCGTAAGTCAGGGGAATTTTAAAATATTCAAAATATACTTATTTTCCACACTTTATTATGGTTTTTACTTTTATCTATGTTAAATTCCATGTTACTGACTACATAAATTTGAAAACATAGATTAAAATAAACAAAATACTTACTTACAAATACATTTCAAAGTAGACATTGCAATTATTTAATAAAAAACGACAAAAAAACAAATGCAATAAACAGATTGTGCATCTTCCAAAAATATTATATTATATTAAAGAAATTATCAATTTTTGTTTGGACAGTTATTATATATCTCCTTGTAACAAGAATTTATAATTGTGTTCGTAAGTCCGGGATTTCGTAAATTGGGGGATACCTGTATATAGATTTTTAAATGCATACCTAAATAAGTTGTGGAGTATAGCTGATAGATGGCACTGCAGGATTGTGTAATTGCGGTAGATATTCGTAGATGGAGAGACGGGTTAGGAAAGTGGCTCGACATGTCCAAGCAGCGGCAAAACCGGAATCGAATTTGAATCATCCGTAATCGAGTTTCGGAATAGGTATGCTTTGGAGGTGAAGTGGCCGACTGGAAAGTGGATTAGTGGCCACAGCCAGAACCGAACAATGTGCATTAATCTTTAATCAACAATCTCCGGCTGGATGCGATGCGAAATTTTTGCCGCTTCCGGTTTTACTAATCCGAATTGTAATATAATTTTTAATTAATGCCTCACTAAATGGCAAAATGGAAATTGAAAAGTGGAGTTAATGCAATAAGAATTCCC